TCGTCATCTGTGCTCGCTTGTGCCGCGCCGTGAAGAGTGATGGGCCGTGCATGTCCGATTCGAGGAAGGGAATCAAATAAGGCCGAGCCTGACTAACTATGGAGTGATTGACGTTGAAGAGCTGGGCGACACGCGACAGAGGCGAGTTGCGATCCTTGGCTGATGCATGTGTCCACTGACGGAAAGTATTCGCTGGCGCCCAGGGTACAATCTTACCGTCTACATCTTTGCATAGCACCGTCGTCCGTCTGCTTCCGTAGAGTGCCGGAGTTGACGCGTTGGATGCGACAGCCGCGGTCCAAATCAACTTAAATGCCTCGTCAGCACACCCACATCTAATTTTTCTCTCAAGCCACGCCAAGGGCTTATAGATAGGGGCCAAGGTTTTAGAGACATACCACGTTAGGGGCGGTAATATAGTTCAGTAATGCGGGAATTCCCTCTTGTTCCGCTGTAGCCACGGTGATATTTAAGACGCGCTTACTCCTGTGATATGCCTCCTCAAACGTCAAGTCGCCAAGGTTGTCCTTAACGCAATCTTCTAGAACCTTAGCATCGAGAAAGTAGCCTTCGTGCAAGAACCTCGCGATCCTACGCAACAAAGTGCTGAGATAGGGCGCCCAACTGTATTTGTCACTATGCACTTGTTGCTCGTGTTTCTCGAAGGCTGATAGATCGATGCCGTCTCCTCTCAACACACGAGGAAGCTCATCTTCTGTATGGATAGCTACTAGACTAGCAATGAGCGCGCCGGTCGCCGTGCCTGTAATAATCCGCGGCAGTAGACCCCGTAGAAATAAGGCCTTGACAACACCTAAATGACACAATCCAAACATAGCACCACCCTGTAGCACTAGAGTGCTCCGTCCAAAAGCCTGTCTCGAATCGTGTAGGAAATCCAGCTTTCGCTGGGTTGAAAGAGTGTACGTATGAGTGTAGCTGCCATGAAGTGGCGTAGCGACACGGCGATTGATATCGCCAATGGCACCAGCCACTTGCGCAATGTACTCTTCGATCAGATATTTGGTTCCGGCAAAGGCGCGGTTATACAACCTTGGGGCTGTAATATTCCCGAGGTTTCGAACTAGGCCGGACTGTACAAGATCGAGGAGAGACTGTAAGTCATTATTATCACGAGCCTCGACGATCATATCGAGACGATCGTTGATCAGCATCCAATCGTAGTAATGCGACGGGGGGTTGTTGCGCCTACAAGAGGATATCCTCCTTGTTAGTGTCCCCCATATACACTTCAATATACACTTCAGATTGCTATATCATACCAAAGATTCAATTCCTTAAGATTATCCAGCTGTAATGCTGCGTGTTCCCAATCTTCGTATGTAGCGGCATTGAGCAATGCATCGAGTTGTTCGTCCATCAGGCTTTTCGACGTCCATCTTCCCCAGAATTTCTAGTATAAGAGGAACTATGTGAGCTTAAGTGCAGTTCACCTCTTGTTATCACGGCTAGATACTCACTCTATACCAAAATAAAAAGACCTCTAGCAATAGGGAAAACACAGCTACGGACACCCCGAAAATTGACTGCATTCTCTCATACCATTTGTGCCGGCCGGAATCATCGGTAGGGAAAAATCAACGGCGTCAGCAAGGGCGAGAGCCCGGGCGCGTAGGTCAGGTCCGTTAGAAGCTGAGAGACTAGAGGGAGATGGCACCCGCCATTACACGTCGCGACGAAGCGACACCGCGAGAGTAATATTGAGAAATAGACGAGAATGACCAACATTTGTAGTTGGGATGAACGTTGCGTACTTGATTCAATTGCCAATGTTTTATGTTTTACATATTAGGTAGTATATGTATACAGTATACATAAGGCAAGATACCTAGGTAAGGTTAGGTATGTACAACGCGCCGGGGCTCACGAGGGCCGAGCTAGAGGTAGGACTAAGGCTCATGTGCTCTAATAAATCGGGGGAATCGGTGTTTATAAACTTGCATGTGAAAGAGAGACCTCCGAACTTCCGAACTCCCGCTGTATGTACGGATTCAATACTCTGACAACTGGTGCCACCTGATGAACTTGTACAAATTACTTCCTTATTCTCACTTGGACAATAGACAACCGAAAGTTAAGGCAAATACCAGATATGAAATATGCAAGCTTATAAATTTCAATGTGCCTATAGCTGAAGCACATGGTAACCTACGTTACCCTTTCAATGGTAAGTGGTTCTCAAATTACTTAGGTATACATATATAGTCTTCTTAGTGGAGTCTATCGGGCTATGATCTTGACTCGTTCATAATAGTTGACTTATGAAATTTGCTCTGTGGATTTTTCTATAGCAATCGTCGTATTTAAAATGTCGGCTAAACCCACCGTAGGGATGGGACTGTATATGATACATACTATATTGAAAGATGTAGGCGGGATAGATGATCTTAACAAAGGGATATATAGTAAGGTATAAGACACATAGTGAGTAGTGTAATATATACGGCGTTGAGTAACCCTACCGTGATTACCATACCGCATGCTATCTAGCTATTTCAACCCGCAAAGTATTGTGATATCGCATAGGTAGTATAGAATAGCCTATTCCATAACCTTAATCAAATATATGAGCTATCGAGGTCTTCTGCACGTGCTAAAATAGCAACTGTTACATGCAAGAAAGTACTATATGTGTATAAGAACGCCGAATATCATACAAACGTAGGGACTCATCATGTCCAACGCATCAAACTACTAAACCTAAATTTACTCGTCATCCTCGTCCTCGTCAATGATATGGCGTCTTCGCCGGTGAGAAGACTCAGCCGGCGCATCCACGTCGTCCAGGTCAGCATCAGCGTCGGCATCAGCATCTTCAGCATCAGCCGTCCTCTGGCGCTTCCTTCGGGGAGCCTCTTCCTCCTCGTCATCATCCAAAAGATCTTCTTCATCTTCGTCATCCTCGTTTCCTTCTTCCTCGTCATCACTAGGGGCGATGAAGTCATCCTCGCGATCATACTCGTTCTGGCGACCTCCACCTGACGGGAAGTCGTCATCGGAATCATATTCTGGTCGACGTCGCTTGCCCTTTCCTGAGCCTGGCGCGCCTTTCTTTCGAGAGCCACCAGTTCTACGGCCACCCTCTAGGTCGCCAATCGAAAGTCCTCCGCTCCTGTAGCCTCCAGCTCGTCCATCAAGTCGCGCAGCTGCATTCTCCCGTCGTCGCTGTGCTTTCATACGCTCTTTCTCGGCCAGCTCTGCTTCTTTCTTCTGAAGCTCGGGATCTTTCGTAGTTGTGATAATCATATCACCACCTTGTCTTCTGGCGCGCTGGGCGGCTTCCATGTCACGGCTGAACTTGAGTAGAGCTTCGTCCTTCAGGTTCGAGGGAAGCTTCACCGAGTATTGTTCGGAAACGTGGCCCACAGTCATAAATAGCTCACTCGTAAAATGTGCTGCTGCGACGTAGTAGTGGGCGTCGTCGCGCTCTTCGTAATATGGCTTGTCAGCCGCGGGCGCCATTGCCTTCTTCTGTATCTCGTAATGGTCTGCCCCAACAGACATGGTGAGGGATCCATCACTCCAACGGTATATAACAGAGTTGCTCTTTAGCTCGCCGGTTTCGGGGTCCCGTTGGAAGCGGACAACATTTTTGCGCTGTTCGGAGCGCGCATTCTGTATGTCCCATTCAGTCGGCTCAAACGTGTCGGGCTTGTATTCTTCAGCTTGTAGCTTGATGAAGGAGGGAACTTTCATCGTTTGTAGCTATAATTGGTTAGGATTGATCTACAATTGAAGTCAAGATGAAGTGGACGTACGGAACCAGTGCCATCCTTAGAGGTTCGTGGAATCCTGTGTCGATGAAGTGTAACACCCATGATGCGTTTTACCTTGACCTCTTGATCTTCGTCTGCGTCGCCATCTTGGTCGTGGGTACCGTCATGGTCGCGGTTGTCATCTCGTTCATCGCCCTCATCTTGTTCCGAAGCCAGATCTTGATCACTAAGCACTTGATCCATAAACGGAACTTCGCCCTCGTCGCCGAAGAGGTCACCCCCATCCTCAGAGTCGGACATAATGAGGATTTGGTGTACTTGGGGGTAGTATGGAGTTGTATGGAGTATGTTGTATAGAGTTGTATGAAGGGTGTGAGGGTGTTCTTCGGATGTAGAGTAATGCAATTGGAAGACTTGGGAGAATCACGTCAACGTATGAAGGGTGTCGAGGGAGTCGCGATTTGATAATGCGGTGGATGAAATTGGAGTAAGTACCTAAAAGTAAGAGGTAGACTTCCTGGAATCCATATGTTGCTCACCCGCACTGTAAAGATAGCTAGGTACATACGGAAGTCCCCATCAAAAGTTTTGTCCATACGTGCCACCTGACAGCTTTTGATGCAGCTGTTTGGAACCTAACACCATGCGGCAAGATTAGAAATGTATACAAAATTTTAACTTTTATAACATATCTAATTTTAGCTTCAATATATTAATGAAAATATTAAAATTGGATCTATTATAAGTATAAAAGCTTTTTTATACGCCTATATAACTTTTATTATTTGAGGAAAAAATTTTGAGTTATTATATATAAACAAAAGTAGTGTATTATGGATAATACATGCGCTCGATAACCTATAGCTGTTGCCAAGCCCTGTCAAAGCCCTTTAAAAGCTAATAAGGACTGGCCTATGGACAAAACTTTTGATGGGGACTTCCGTACAATACTTTAGTATGTACCTACCCAGAAAGGCGTCAAAATAAGTGCCGATTTTAAGTCTTGGGTAAACAATATCCTTCTTTTCGTAAACTTATTTCTTAGCAACTACAATAGTGAAAAATTCCCAAAATTGGATTAAGAAAATAAAGTCATTAAATTTTAATCCTTAAAAGAAATGAGAAATTTCTATTAGGAAATGGCGAAGTTGTATGAGATACAATTCGGATTGTGACTTCTTGCAAGAATAAAAAAGGCACTTAGTTTGGCGCTATTCTGCTACCCTAAAGCTGCTAAGTGGTAGGTACCTCACTCCATGCAGTCCGTGCTTTACCTTTCCAGAGTCGATAAGAGATTTTGATATCGATAAAGATGATGCAGCTAAAAGAGACTAGCGTTGGGCGCTATGTAGACGAGCGTCTCCTGAAACAGCTCGAGACGTTAAAATATCATTGGGTGAAATAGATGTGGGAAACTTCCACACATCGCAAAGTCACTGTCACATCCCTTCCGCCCCTTTTCCTCGCGAAGCCTCGTCGATTCTTTTATTGTGTCCTCGGTCGGCGACTTCCTTATTTTTCTAACCAAGCTAGAAACTCTGCTATTCACTTTTTTATTATTATTTTCATCTTCTCGCATATCGCCGACAGGCCTCGTTGCCTCTAATAACTTGCCCTATACCGGTACCTGACGCGGCGGTTCTCAAGTGATCATGTCTAATCTATTTTCTGGGATGTAAGTGTATAATGTTTTATTTTTCTATCTTTCCTTTTATCCTATTTTATTTCTTTAAATACCCTACCCCCCCTTTTTAAGGACCATACTATCGCCAAACTCACGTATGGCGACTTATGAGCTACAAAACAAAAAGGCCACGTGCAGAGGACCAGCCATTTTGATTTTAGGGACATTTCCTAGGGTGTTATTCATTTATTATTATGAATGTACCCCGGCCAAAAGAAATTGGCTGTCTCTTATCACAATGTACATATTCAGCTCCGGCTTGTACAGCCTCGCATACGTCACTTGGACATATAAGCTGTTTATGGATGGTCTTTCTATCTATGCTGCACGTCGACTCCCCAGAAACCAACCTATCACCCATGCGAATTTTAACATCTTGTAAGACAAGAGTCGGTATAATACATACTCAACAACGGGGGTTGGTTCATAACGTGAAGCCGTGGTTCTGGGAATATTGAAATCATCCAACACAGTGCAAGTTGGAAGTTGGGTACAAGCAGCACAACCTTTTTTATTCATAAAAAAGAACCCACACAAAGTTGTTTTGTGAGACGGACTTTTAAAGCTCATACGAGCCAAAAAGCTATCGTGGGTAATTTAGCCCCCTGCTCCAAAAAAGAGAATCTTGACCTATGTCTTCACCTATTCCCTATTCCCTTTTCCCTTCCCCCCCTTAGATGGGGAAAGATTAAGGCGCCAGCAAAGCATCCTGGAATGTTGGTTCCCAATACAAAACGATTTCAGAATGGAGCAAGTAGCAGCCCGGACTCCTACTATGGGTCTATTATATGCAAGCGCTATTCTCCTACTACCCTTTATTATCCTTACTATCCTTACTACTACCGTTGTCTCGGTTTCATATTTGCTTGTGGGCTTATCGGGTTCTCAGTTTGGATAAGTGACTGAGAATCATGAAGTCAAAGCTGGCCTTCCCCTACCTAACCCACCAAAATTATATATATAAGGCCGGGGCGCCTCACGCTGCTCATTGGTTCTTCCCCACTGTCTCTTGTCAGCTCCATATACATAGGGCACCGGACGCACAACAAAGGAATAGTCGATAGTTGCTAACTTCCCACCTTCAGAAACGCTCGATTGAGAGGGACTTCGGGCAAAGCCCAAGGTCAGAATAAGAGCCCCGTTCAAACCACCAGCGGTCAACCCATCTCTCCCACCAGTCTCTCCCAAGGCAGCCAGTCACCCATTAGTCTAGCACCAAAGATCCCTCCACTTCCTAGCTCACCATCCTTAGCTCAGAATATCGGCATGGATGAATCCAGCAACGCAGGAGCCAATGGCGACGACGTCCTCGGTGTTTATCACCTGCCTCGACCTCTGCCTCTATGGCTCAACGCACAATACGCGAAGCATATCGTGAAGGGTAACTTCATGACCTTGAGTGCCCGCCCGAAGACCGTGGAACAGGGGGAGTGGATTGCTCATCAAGGTAAATAGCATTGGTGTTATGTGCTTCATGAACTTGGCCGGAAAACTTCTAACGTATTGCAGTGGTTGAGCATTACCGCAACCTCTGGAACTTCGTACGGGTGATTCATGAAAAAGAAGAAGATGGCAGTACCATCTGTAACCCCCAAACTTGCCCTCGGATGTCCGCTGGCGCGTGAGTAGAACATCCATGAAAGTGGCCAACGGTTTGGCGTATCTAATCCGGGATATAGGAACCATTCCTTCACATGGCTGAACTACAAGCGGGAGCCCGTCGAGTTGCCGGCCTACGAGTATATCACGCTTATGCAGCGGTGGATATCTGGAAAGATCGACGACACGAATATTTTCCCTACTGATACCAACGGCGTTTCTTACGCGCACAACCCGTCCATCACCACGACGCCGCTCTCGCAACTATCGAATCCCGAAGACAAAGACTGGCTTGGAAAGGCCAGTGGGTTCCCTGAGAACTTTTTGGAAGTCTGCCAGACCATCTTTAGACAGATGTTTCGGGTATACGCTCATCTGTATTGGGCGCACTTTATCGATCCGTTCTACCATTTGAACCTCGAAAAGCAGTTGAACAGCTGTTTCAGCCACTTCGTGCTGACAGCCTGCGCGCTGGACATGCTGAAGCCCCAAGAGTTAGAGCCTATGCAACCGTTGATTGACCTATGGGCGGCCAACGGTACTTTCCCGCCTGGCTCCAAGGCATATGAGTATTCCAACCAGAAAGCCGGAGAGCGATTGATGCAGCTTGCGAATGTCGCTTAGGGTGCGCCTCGCCATCATATTGCACGACGATGGTAGCCGTTGAAGGCTGATATGCCTGAGGCATTGGTCCGGGATTGAGTAGCGGCCGGATCTTCTATACAACTAGCCTAGGACGGCGAGCAGTACGGAAGGAGAAGGGAAAAAGAAGACCCATAATATCGCCTCGTACACACCGCAAATGGATATCCTGAAATTGAGGAGTTGGCACGAGGCGTTTTCGTTTTGAGATTTGACTAAGGAGAATCAGCTCGCGACGCACGGGAAGAAGAGTGCGGATGGATTCGGTTGGCAAATAACGTTCGTATGAAACGACGTACCACTTTCTGCGATAACGACGCGATACGATATGGTGCGAGATTTTGCATCTCGAGAGTTCTATAGCATAGACGCAGCATTACTACTTAGGTAGAGAATGAGACAAGATAATCGATAACTACACTACATAGATGCTAGATAGATCCATGCTGCTGCTCGTGTGGCATATTACCTATCTGACCTACCTGAGTATCTATATGCCTAACCTATATATTCTATGTAATTCATAGTGATATAGTGATATTCAGTCCGGAATCTACGAGAGTAACCCGCGCTGCTTTTTTATCTCTGTTCTTAGATATCTGCATCTTCTATCTATCTATCTAATGCTTCGAAAGACTAGCCGTGCCGCCGAAGGTGGGCTGCTAAATACTTCCCCGCATTCGATTAATGATTAATGCAGACGAACAGTTCAAATGGATGATCGAATCTCAAGGAAAACTCTAGGACTCTAGGTACAGTACGCATTTATACTTTATAGCGCAAAAGGGAAGATTCGACGCAACAAAGTCGTCCCTCTCGTCAGCTAAATGCTATCTTTACAATAGTAATTCAAATCCTCGTCAGCACAAATTACCTCTTTGGGTACCTAAGTCTACTATGAACGTCTCCTTCAGCGCGGGTAACCCAACGGATGATGCACATCTACAACGGTGCTGGAGGATCCAGAACTGCGCGGCCTGTCTGAAGAAGGAGTCGGACTGCAGTTGGTGTCCGTTCGTACGTGTGCTGTTCTTTATATGTAAAATAAAAAGTTCACGGTTTAGAGATTTCAGCAGGATTAAGTCTTGTCTAACGTATATATCCATATACCCTTAGTCCTGGACATGCGTTCCCAACTCGAACCGGATCCAATTACTCGCGCCGGCATGGGACGAGAACGTATGTCCGCACTGGGCTGAGCGGTGGGAAATTCGTACTCGGCCGCTCGGCTGCCAGGTCTCTACCATCACCACGCTGACTTCGCTTGTTTCTATCGCATCAACACTCATCTTCGTGCTGCTCGTTACATTGGTGGTGTTTGGGATACAGAGGCTTAGGGATTATAGTAAGAAGAACCCAGGCTGGTGGAAGATATGGAAATACGACTGGAGGCGTTGGAACGAACTTCGACAACAGTGGCTTCGTGTGAGGATTGGAGATCGAACCGGTACGGAAACTCGGGAATCAAATCGCGAACAGGAGCCATTGCTACCGTCCTGAGTACGTATATAAAAGAGCATAGCTAGGTCACAGGGAAACAAAGTCTATGGATAATGATCTGATATCGAATTTGATCTTGACTTGCACTTTTCAGCCAGAGCTGACTGGGGGAATAATAGCGACCTCATCGCCCTCCTTGATCAGAGTTTCGGCAGATTCGTCGCCAGGCTCTGGGATGTCGACGTAATTAAGATTGACTGTCACCAAGCACGAACTGAGAACTTTGTCTTTGATACCACTATATTTCTCTTCTAACACATCGAACAACTTCTGCAGAGAAAGTGGTGCAGGTAATGTATCGAATTCTTTCGAGGTGAAAGAACTTGCACTTGCGAAATAGAGGATATTGAAATAGCCTTTCGGCGGCTTGGGAACGGTGCCCATTGCGGAATCTAATTGGGTCTATGAAGAAACATCGACCATGTCTGAAATTCTTGTTAGTTACTATATTTCCAAAAGAGATTCTAACAAGAGTGAGTGAATGGGTGTTGATTCAGAGATCTTGGTGATATGGTAGAACATCAGTGATGATCAGGTAATACATGCTATTTATATGCATCATACAACGTGAGTATAGCTTGAAAAAGGAAATGGCTTACCATATGTCAATGGAATGGGTTAATCTTTGGTTACCCAAGTTGAGAAAGTGAGGTTGAAGAAGGAAAAGAGAAAAGAAAAAGGAATTGCAGCTTTTGAAGCTAGTCGTAGGGGAAAAAAAAAAGTTCTTAGACGCTAGTGGTATGGATTAGTAAGCGATATAGTTAGTCTCCTGTAAGTTTATCAGTTCAGTTTTCTTCATGCGATAGCAGAAACTATCGGTACTGATTGCGATCTTGAAGTCCCTAGGTAAGCTTAAAATAGGACATTTAGATTGCAGAAATGAGGAATATCAATTCAAAGACGATCAAGTAGCCGTATCACGCGAAGTGCATTGTTCGGGGTATGAATCGTGCTTTATTCGCAATGCAGAATGCCCATCATAGTCCGGCGACTCCTGTAACAAAAGGAATCTTGACCGCGAATCCTGTATGATGCTACTGATCTTCGACCGTAGTCTGATCGTAAGCTAGCAGTAAAATCCTGACCCTCATGCTCGCAACTCCTCCCAAAGGAAATTCCATTCTTATCGTAATCGTCGGGCCTCACGCTCAGACTCGAGTAGGCAGAGAATGTCGTCCTCACGAACTATATAGTCATCTAGTTAGTTATCGTCAAATCGCTCGGCCATAAAAATTAAGGAGATTTCGTGGGTTCGCACCTGGTCCCTTGACGTTTCGGATGATGCTTCGGGTTTGGTCGTCCATGAATTCGACACGGACTTGGGTAACACCACCGCGAGAACCTATATCCGTCAGCTCCTGTTCATTTCAACCTGCGACGTCGAATATTTCGGATTGCGAGAATGCGGTGAGGGGAATCGTACCGGTTCGGCCTAGGACGCGGGTGACCTTGACAAGCTTGACGGGCTGCTTAGAGGACTCCATATTTGCAATCTGAGTGGTTTTATTAGGGCTGAGGTTTCGCAAATGGGGTCGGGAATGCTTTTCGTACTTGTGATTGAAGTTTTGCAAGGGGTTTGCTGCCTGGTCGCGGGAATGGAAATTTGTCAAAAGTTGGTAGTAGGAATTTTGATTAGTTCAAAAGTTGTAGTCTCGCTTAAGGTGTTCTTAGTTGTGGGTAGGGCTTTTTTTTTCGTAACGCATGGACCATGTTAGTACCTTGGTACATACCTCCTTACGTTTTATCATATATGCATCTTCTTTTAGATGCATAATAAGCATTAACTCTACTTTATAGTTGCATGAGCAATAGCGGACTTTTTGACATAGATCATAGCATGATATTCATAGGGATATTATTGCATCACTCTTTACTTATCCTTTTCTCAGAATGTTAAAGGTTTGATGCTTCGTAATAGGGTATCAGGGCCGACGTAAATCACAAGTAGATACAATAGTATCACCACTATCAAGACAACCCAGCGACTTTGGCTTCTAGATCTTTTACCCACCCTTCTACCACCTTCATATTGGCCGTCATAGTCGCACCCCCTTCACCCATAACTGTTTCTATCTTCTCTAGACCCTCTCTCCACTGCTTGATATCAGCAGCCATTTCGCTCTGCGATCTTTCGATACGCTCGAGCGTCTCATTAGCCGTCGCCGCATCGGCATGAATAGCTCTCAGCGAGCGGAGTCTATCTAGTAGTGGAGGTAGAAGGGGCGCTAAGCTTTCGATGGTTGGTAGTGTCCCATAGAGAGCGTTTATCTTAGCTGTTTGTTCTGAATCGTCTGCTTCAATCGGAGAACCACCCGAAGAGGCAAGGGAATCCTGGGCTGCCTTAGCTGCCTTCCTCGACTTTTCCAATTGTTCAGCTTCTTGAGTTAATGTCCGTACCCGGCGACTAATACTGTCGAGGGATGAAGTAGACGCTTCTGATAACGTCAAAATCTGGTTCTGCAGCGTTTCCAAAGTAGGCATAATAGCTCGGCGTAGGCCATTCCTTTCTAACTCGGGCATAGCCGAGGAAGTAATACCAATAGCTTTCTCGAGTAAAACCAGTCGCCGATCGAAGTCAGCAGCTTTAGCGAGGGCGTGACTTTGTTCGTAACTCGGCGCGTAAGTGACGGTATATGTTGCCTCGTTTAATAGTGACTGGGTTGATATTTGACTCTCGCCCTTCGTTTGATTGCCGGTGACCGCTGTTGGGTGATCTCTAGTCGCCACTACTCTTTCTGGAACAATCGAAATCTCCTCCAATGCCTGGCTTAATGAGACGAGGTCTACATCTTGGTCTGGTATAGCCTCTGCCGACTCGGACTTCCGTTTACCATACTCTTCCTTAGCTTCTTCGATCTCGCGCTTTAGCCGTGCGATTTTTCTCTGCAGATCCTCACCTCCCTCTTCGTCACTCAAATCGCCGATCTGTTCAGTACCGTCTTCGAGGATTCGTTGTCTTCGACTGGAGGTCTTATATGATTTCCGCTTTCCATTCAGCCGATCGGAAAAATCCACGTCTCGAGCGTCAACCTGTGCAGGTAAGAAACGAGACCGAGCTTGATCTATTCGGAGTCGCGAATGCGAGATTTCGTGGATATCATCGTCATCGTCTTCGTCGAATTCGTTGTCCGACTGCGACCGACCTGCAGTAGTCTAGGGGGGCGGTTTAGAATGATGTTCGTTCTACTAGGAGTATCAATATATCCTTACAGGAACGGTAGAATTGTCGTCCGTCAACTCGGGAGTCTCATAAATGTCAGGTGCAGAGTCCTAGATGCTGATTAGTACAGTATATAGGCAAATCTCAAGTATTTGAACATACTAGGTCTGGTAATGCGGCATACTTTCGATTTAATGCCATATCGAAGGTTGGGATTTTTCGCAGATTCCAATCGGCAAAGTTTCCTAGCTTGTTGTTAGGGAGAGCTGTAGAAATTCAGATGCAAACAACGAAAGCCAAATGTGAAAGATGGAATTAAGATGAGAGTACGTACCCAGAAGTACATGAACTCAAGCCCGTATGTAGATGTACTTTCCAAAGGACATGTGGCTGCATTTGTGGCTTATTACCATAAAGGTCCACCTCCACCTGCCCTCTAACGCGTCTTGCAACGCGTCGTTCTTGCTCTATGTATGTACTTCAAGGTACATAACCGTCACCAAAATTGCTATGAGTAATGGCTCCATCTCATGTTAATCCATTAAAACACACATGACGCACGGAGATACAGAAGCATCTGCGATTAATTATCAGTGCGTTTATTCCAAGTACTCCTCATAATTATCTTGTTTCCTTAGTTACGGTACTAACTAACATATTATTTGCATTAAAGCAATTCCTTAGGTACCTAATGCATGAGGCACATGAAGCACACTTTCTTTTTGGCTGTGCTTTTCTCACCTTATTAAGTAAGACTCTTACTCTTCACCTTCAATCATTGCCTCAGCAATCGTATGGGTATATGTTCCTTGGCGCGAGACAATCAGTCATATTGCATCTTGTTTGTGCTTGGTATATCCGCACACTGCTTGGTCCCGGTAATAAAAGTCAAGGAAGTTTCAATGCCGATTATTATACCAAGACGGCGTGTCGGGTTAAGCCTCGCCCAGAATCCGCCTCGTCTTTTAAAGAGAATTGGAAATCAAGAAACTAGACCTCCTGGATCTGAATCTAACAATGTCAGAAGCAAAATACCCGCCTCAAACATGAATAGACTTGGAAAGAATCGAGAACCAGAATCCATCACTGCGCCACCTCAGAGTAGTGATGAAGAAGAGGAGGATTATCAACAACAACGCCACAATAGCTCGCACGACTCTGATTCTGACAACAATGACAGCCGATACAAAGATATAAAGCCTACAATTTTCAGTAGCTCGCAAAAGGGTGGGCCTTCCAGCTCGGCTGGTTCAAAGAGATCATCTGAAGATATTACTCCAGAGGCGAGGAATCACCTCACGAATGCATTCGGCTTCACAAAAATTCAAAAGCGAACTATCACCAAGCGCACCACAACTTACAGCGATAAATCATCTCAGCCTAGACCTTCACAGAGGAGAGCATCACAAAAGCCCGGACCTAAACCTTCAGTATCACAGCTTGAGAGTCAGTCCATGCACCTCACTTACCGTAGCTATCACTAACGAAAGGTTTTCTTAAACTATTAGATGACTCAGGCAAATCATTTAGGCATTTTAAAACTAGCCCGAGTCCCGAAGGTATTCGGTCACCTCCAGCGAAGCGGTTTGTAAAACCTGAGAATATCAGCCCAGAGAAGGCAGAGCCCTCTAAAGCTTTCATCAAACCTTCATCCTTGTCAGACTCTAGTCCAAGTCGAGACACCAAGAAACCCATATTTAGACGTGGCAGTTTATCATCAGATGATTCACTATCGAGGAGTAAATCCAAAAAGCTCGGTCTAGAAGAATCAAATGCGGCAGTAGAAGCAAAGCCAGCTTTACGGCCTGGTAGGATAAAAGATTCGAAGAGATCTAAGAATAGGAAGCGAAAATCCCTCCATGAACCCGGGGTAGATGAATTCTCTCAGAGACCAGCTTTTAAGCTGCATGCTTTGGATGATATTGACGACCTAGACGACAGCGACGATGTGGTTTTTGACGTGTTTGGGAGTAAAGACTCCGATGACGAAGCAGGTGATGTCAGTATACAAAGCCCACTAGCTACCACAGCGAGGTGTCCTATGTGTCATGAAGTAGTCGATCCCGAGCTTCTAGCAAAGCATTCAGACCACGGCAGAATGAACATAAAGAAACAAGCAGCATTCTGCAGGTTACACAAGCGACGGGCGGCGTTGGATTCCGGAGCTCGGAAAGGATATCCCAAGGTTAACTGGGAGAGGCTTGATACACGATTAGACACGTACCATGGTTTATTGAAAGAAATCTTGGAAGGTACTCGAAAATCACACTATCACGAAGTGTTACGAGAGAACGTCGAAGCGGGAAAGAATCGGACGTTACTCAAAACCGACGACAGTCTTACACCAGGCTACTATGGGCCACATGGACTCCGCGTTATGACCGAGTATATCTTGCGGACTTTATCGTCAGTTATCCGAAAGCGTGCAGTTGAAGACAGACTCGTTTCCGCTAGAGGTTATACAGGATACGTCCAGGCAGTGTTAGTGCCCGAGTTAACAGTCCGCCTAATCATGGAGGACATGGACATTGCAGAAGAAAAGGCGCGGGATATTATGCTGGAAAGTATTGATGTCGGAGAGCTCTTATATGAAGACACTGGCGATGTTATTGCCGGTGTTAGTGATGAAGAGGAAATAGCATAGTAGGATCCCAAAGGAACTAGAAAACCTACGTTGAGCGGATAGTCACAGTACGATAAATAAGCATATGCGTCCATCTAAATGTAGACGCTTAGGGCTGTCACACTGCAGCTAGATCTTCTGTCTATCAAAAGCTCTGATTGGGCTAATGTTATTATACGCATTAGCTCTTTAGACACTACATGTTAGCTTATGTAGATCCTGCAGTAAATGCTAAAGAAATCATTCTGTCGTTTGTCAATTTTAATTGTATAGATCGATAGCTTGGTGTCCCAAAATCAAATACACATACAAGTTATCGATTTAAAGATTTTTGGTAAGTTCATCTTTCCAAAATGAAAGTATTATAACTTTTGATACCCCTTTGGCCCCTCAACTATGGATTGTCATAGGATAGAACATAAGATTAAAATACCTAATGTATGTATTAATGTTAGGCATATAGCATGTCCATACATCCAGGTGGCTAGGCAGATAAAGTACATGTATGCATGCATGTGCGAGCGCGGGAACTTGCGGCAGCATACGACATGCAGGCTGTCGGTCCGGCTTGGTTATTGTACATATATGTGTAACATTGTCGCCTACCGAAATAAATACACGTTGATATACGTTGACTGGAGCATCGCTTGTGACTTGATAAGCCTCCTGTGAGCTGGTCCGGGTCGTGGGGGAGATGCCGGACCAGTCCCTAGGGGCAGTGCCCCATGGAAGACAGAGCACAAAGACGAATCCGATTTCATTTCTCCCATCTCGGATCATAGCGTGGAATGACAAGTCGACTTGTCATCCCGAACACTTGTGTAAATATATATATCAAACTTGCTTCGATTGGAACTACATACGAACGGAAATATTCAACAAATAATATTGGCGTAAAAAACATTAGGTACCTACTCGATGAAGCGAGCATCTTCATCCGATATTTGACTGCATCTGGCGCCTATTACAAGGATTCTGGAGCGGCGCTAAAACTTCGTCTGGGGGCCAAGGGGTGCCGATGTCTGTGGAGTTAAAACTAACCCGGTTTTGTAAATGTTAGCAGATGGCGCAGAGATCATATAATAGTCAAAGCCATTTGAACCCGCATTTTTGGCTTTTCACCGACGCCTTGGGACAGGGCAGTAGGTATTCAGTACCTCTGTCAAGGTGGAGATCTTATTTACAAGTAACTATATATTTACTATTGACACTCGTAAATGTAAATATGTAAGCAATAAGCCTCATATCTCGAGTCACGGGCTTCTCTGCTCGAGTCATACTTACACATGTAGTAATGAAATATAACCATCGTAGCCTGATCCACGGAAGAGCGGTAACACCAGGGTATGACTTTGCTGCCAAGTCGAAAATAAATCGGTTCGGAAACAGGTTTTATCTGATTTGTTGACATTTATATATATATGTTATATATATACACACACATAGAGACAGAGGCGAATCGTGTAGTTATACTACCTGCTTATATGTATATGGTGAGATTCGGTAACCGTAAGTGGTATTGAGTTTTTGACGCAGGCTTACTTCCAATGCACATGTACGTAAAATGGTGTGATCGGGGGCTAACTAATAAGCGTTGGGCATATTTACAAATTCTTGGACATGACAGGCTCGATTACGTAGTGTATAGATTTCAGATGAACTTGTTTACCCCTCGAGGAAGCCGACTTAAATAGAAATATGCTTAAATAGACATATGAAAAAGAAAGACAGAAAGATAGGGAATCGGACGGATTGTCTCAATAGTAATAGTAAAGATAGAATCCCGGAAACCCGGCATCTATCGTATGCATAGCTCTTATGTACCTACCTACTATGATGATAGACTGTATTAGGTTAGGTATTAGTATTCAGCCATTAAAGTCCTACGTGACTAGCGCAATCATGATCGTGGAATCCATGACTTCGTCGAGTGTACCTACAAAGTTTCAATTTCGATATTGCCTTATGTATGTGGTAAGGGCCTGGCGTCCTTGAATCAAAGTTATTTAACAATATTTAATAATAATAAGAAGAAGAAGACGACTAAGACGATTATTGAGGTTTGAATATGCGCGACAAGCACGGATTAGGAACTGAGGATGTTGAGCCTGGGGGTTCTTTTACCAAAAAAAGATCTTACCCCACTGATTTAATCGATAGGCCTTTCTTGAGCGGACCTTTGAGCGGGCGAGACGTTCAGTGGTTCAGAGGCGTGGCTGCTCCCTCATATTGTATGTACATACCAGCTTGTACCGAAGGTTATGCCCGCGGTTGCACTGCACGTACCACCCGAACCTATCTACTTTTAGTTCAATTCTGACACTGACAACCTCTTACCCGATAGTAGCAGTATTGTATCGTACCAGCATAGTAGGATGTAGCAGCAATTAATACCCTAGTGATTCTCCCCACTTGTAAGTTGCAGCAGCAGCAGCAGCAGCACCTGCCCTGCCTTCAACTTCGCCCTGCTTTGCAAGACCTTGTTACATTCAGTCTGCGTCTACCAAATCCAAAACCTTTTCAGCCCTCAATCTTGGCTCTGGGCTTTACCGCATTCTTCGTCTCTAGCAGCCCGCCTATCTCTTACCAAGATCCTTTTTCTTGAATATCAACCAGCTTTTTCTAGCGCACTTGGAGACGCTGCGCTTCTCCGTGCACTCTGGATTACCATCTCCATATAGATACGAATATACATACCTACATACCTACCTACATACCTACATTCATACATTCATACATACCTAACCTAACCTCATACATACATGCCTACCTAGCTTCACGATACAAAGCCGACTTAAAACTTGAGAACTCTCTAGAGGGAAATGTTCTACTCTACCCCTCTTTGATGGCGCCGCCCTATTAATAAAAAGCTGCGAGGACCAGCGCGAGAGCGACAATGACAATGACGCGAGATGACAGCCGTATCACCTCCTTCGCGAGTTCCAGCAGTGGTCACAGTGGTCACTCAAGTGTTACGCTGAAGCCATCCGTTCCTAATCGTTCAGTCTCGGTCTCTTCAACCTCGCTCTCCTCAGCCTCCACTAAAGCTACGCCGAAACCCATCAAGACGAGCGAATATGGCAAAATCAGGTACGTCATGACTGGATTCTTTCTTCTCTATACGGATTGGGCCCAGTGAATCATGTGCGGAGCTATCGGCCTTGTCACATTTCATCCGAAGCCTATCTCGAGTGTCCCTGGTGAGGATAAATTAAGTGCCGAGGAACAAGTCAACTGTCTCTAGCGAAATAGTCGCTTTGTCTACAACGATGTCATTAGCAGCAAAGTTTCTGAAAGCTAACCATGTATGCGTTTCGAACATTACACAGACCGTCTGCTGAAGACTCTCAAGTCTCACCGACAACTTCCGGTCATCGCCTTGCTTTATCACCGACTTCGACCGCATCTAGCAGTTCACTACTCGACAGTCGACGAATGAGCGACCTTGCCGACTACCGTCGCGATCTTGCCGTTCTTAACCCAGCTAGTGGTCGTATTCCCCAAATCCAACGAGATCCTCCAACCAGTCCGAATTCTCAGCATAATATTGCGCCTTGGATGTCTGTCAACGGTGGGGCGGCTACGTCTCCGACTGGTTTCGGGACGAGCTTCTACAATGATTCGAGCGACAATGTATCCACTACCTCCCAACTTTCGCCCGCTTTTAGATTAGGCCCTTCGCGGCCTGCTCAGGCATCGAGCAATGAGTCCCCCGATGCGGCGTACTTCACGGATGACAGGCGACCTTCAGCAGCTAGTATAACAACAGCAAGTAGTCAAGGCTCTAAAAACAGTGGTAGTAGAGGGGGGCTTAAGAAATTACAGGGGTTCTTCGGAGAGGATTTTCCAGGTCGCGATTCATCCGAAACTAGCCTGCCAGCACCGCCTCTGCCCTCTCAAAATCAAAAAGATCAACGTTCCTACTCTTTCAACCGACCGCGTCGTGGGAGGAACGACTCGAACGCTACCGATCATACCAGAGAGCCTTCGCCCTCTTCCTCACGACCGCGTACGCCGGTACCTTCAAGCGATGTAGTACCATTTTTATACCAAGAGGCCAATGATATCGCCAAATACGGTGAAGCTCCGGTTCGCGATATACTGACCGGTCCAGACAGAGAGCGCTACACAGGGGAAAGTTCTACACAAATACCACCGAAAACTTCGTCGTCCTCTCGCTCTGGACACTCGATTGTGCATTTGTCTAGTCATCACCGTCACCACAGGAGCATCGACGACTCCAATACTTTGCGCCCGGTTATCAGTCGCGAAGACCCGGCTCTAAACGTTCAAAATATGAATCAAAATATGAAGGAAAGAGGCGGCTCTGCAGCGACTGCGCCGCGATCGCGGGCCCAGAGTCCCACGCCAAGCAGCAATAGCAATGGCAGTAGACTTGCATCTATCGATGGCCAAACATCCCCCGGCGCTCCTGGAAAACGGGGCATCTTTGATCGGCTACGACGACACAAGCACAAGGACGATAGCCAAGCATCCCGTTTAAGAAGCATGCCCGGCTCTTCTCGCTCGCTTGCACCATCGTCATCCCGGCAAGATTTATCGAAAGGGAATCAGTCGCCTTATGACAAAGCTCCCCTTGCTGCGGAAACTACAGCCCCCCAAACTCGCCCATCCACCTCACGACAAGCGACTTTCAATAATAAATTCCCCTTCTCGAAGAAGGGGCGTCCGCATAAGACCTATGACGATCCCGATGAACACATCGGTCCAACTGATAGGAATGACAAGGGCAATGTGTTCGTTCTTGATACAAATCTGAACGATATGGAGGGCATATTGGCACAACCTCCGCCTTTGACACCTATGGAGCCTTTGTTCGTACCGACAGATATCGAGCCTTCGGAACCAGTTCAATCCAAAGGAACCGGGGCATGGAACGCGCCAGACAGCTGGGCTGTCCGTCGTAATGCAGAGGAAAAAGAGACTCATGTCCCTGAAGTTGAGGAAGTCGGGGCGCCACCAAAACCCGAGGAGAAGCAGAGTCCTCACTGCATACGGGTATTCCGCGCCGATGGCACCTTTGCAACCGTACAGATGCCACTGAACTCCACCGTTTCCGACGTTATGACCCAAGTCGTTAAGAAGACATTCGTCACCGAAGGTCTCGAGAACTACCATATTGTGTTGAGAAAGCATAATTTATCTCGGGTTTTAGCTGCTCCAGAGAAACCGCTTCTAATACAGAAGAGATTGCTGCAACAGGTAGGATATGAGGAAAAAGATCGCCTGGAAGATATTGGCCGAGAAGACAATGGTTACTTGTGCCGTTTCTTATTCCTGTCAGCGAGGGACAACCATTTCACAATGAGCCCCCAGGACCTCGGGCTCGGTAGAGCCACGAAGTTCAACCATGTTGATCTTTCCGGACGAAACCTAATTACAATTCCTATCACGCTCTATTCCAAAACCTCCGATATAATATCTTTGAATCTATCCAGGAACCTTTCTCTCGACCTTCCCCGGGACTTTATCCAAGCGTGTCACCAGTTGCGTGATATCAAGTTCTCTAATAACGAAGCTCGAAAATTGCCCATAAGCATCGGGAGGGCGAGCAGTTTAACATATCTTGACGTATCGAATAATCGACTAGAGGAACTGGAACATGCTGGGCTTGGCCACCTTACTGGTTTATTGAAGCTGAGCTTAGCAAATAATCGTCTGAACCACCTACCTCGGGAGTTTGGCGCTTTCAGGGCGCTTCGCTCTCTAAATCTGTCTTCGAATTTCCTGGACAAGTTTCCAGTTTTCTTATGCGACCTGGAAAGCCTGGTAGACATCGACGTCAGTTTCAATTCAATCGCATCTCTCCCGGACGAACTAGGGAGGCTACAAAGTCTCGAAAAGTTTGTCATGACCAATAACCGGCTTGTCGGGTCCTTACCATCAACATTGAGGGAGCTTCTGAACCTCCGCGAGTTGGATATAAAATACAACGGGCTCACTTCGATAGATGTCGTATACGAACTTCCTAAGTTGGAGATTCTATCTGCAGATCACAACATGATTTCCCAAATCGTCGGTAGCTTCGAGCGAGTCCGCAGTTTGAAGTTGAATTCTAACCCCATCACCAAATTTGAAATTACGAGCCCTGTGCCAACCCTCAAGATGCTCAATTTGTCAAACGCTCAGCTTGCCAGCATCGACGGCTCGTTTAACAACATGGTTAATTTAGAGAGGCTTGTGCTAGACCGTAATTACTTTGTTTCTCTTCCTAGTACCATTGGTACTTTGAGAAGGCTGGAACATTTTAGCATAGCCCACAACTCTGTAGGCGAGCTACCTCCGGAAATTGGTTGTTTAAGCGAACTGAGAATACTGGATGTCAGAGGGAACAATATTAGAAAGTTGCCAATGGACTTGTGGTGGGCAAACAAGTTGGAGACGCTCAATGCCTCTTCAAATGTGCTAGAGAATTTCCCAAAGCCCGCTTCACGTCCACCCCAGATGCCCGGAGAATCTTCAGGCTCGCCTGCTCCTAGTAATAAGCTGCCTACCGGACCTCTATCTCAAGCGTCTAGCTCCGAAGATCTTCTCGCCGATAGATCGCGCCAACCAAGTCAAGCATCAAGCACATTACTGAGCGTTGGACCTTCTCCCGTTCCTTCTAGCGACAGAAAAAGTTCTGTTGTTTCGGTCTACGGAAAGGGGGGGCGCAAAACTTCGGTCCTTTCGCGAACAACAACGGCTAGTAGCAGTACTAACGGGACTATGACTCCTGCCATAGGGTCGAGAAAAGACTCGGGACTTTCTACCCGGTTAACTAACACGTTTGCCGGTTCGTTGAGAAACTTATATCTTGCTGATAACCAGCTAGACGACGATGTGTTCGAGCAGATCACGCTGCTGGCCGAATTGCGCGTTCTCAATTTATCGTATAACGACTTGAACGACATGCCACAACGGTGTATCAAGAATTGGCCCCAGCTCGTAGAGCTTTATTTGTCGGGCAACGACCTCACAAGCTTGCCAGTTGATGATCTGGAAGAGTACAGCTTGCTTCAGGTGCTCCACATTAACAATAACAAATTCACGAACCTTCCCGCAGATATTTCCCGAGCCAAAAAGCTGGCTGTATTGGATTGTGGAAACAATTCCCTTAAGTACAATATCTCAAACGTGCCATACGATTGGAATTGGAACCTAAACCCAAATTTGCGGTTCCTCAACTTGTCAGGAAACAAACGACTGGAAATCAAACAGACAAATGCTGGCCTAGTGTCCCAGAACCGCGAGCAATATACCGACTTCAGTCGGTTGTTGAACCTTCGTGTGCTTGGATTGATGGATGTCACCCTTACTCAGCCAAGTATTCCAGACCAGAGCGAAGATCGTCGTGTCAGAACCTCAGGTTCATTAGCTGGCCATCTACCATATGGTATGGCTGATACACTAGGTAAAGGCGAGCACCTATCAACCATCGACCTGGTCGTCCCGAGGTTCAATTCCTCAGACTCAGAGACGCTCTTAGGCTTGTTTGACGGACAGGCATTGTCCAGCGGTGGCTCTAAGATCGCCAAGTATCTTCACGAGAATTTCGGGCATATCTTCTCAATGGAACTGAAAGCTTTGAAGACACGCCAAAACGAGACGCCTGTAGATGCGCTTAGGCGTGCATTCCTCGCCCTTAACAAAGACCTTGTAACTGTAGCGGTTGAGCATAGTGAAAAGAGGCCGTTGATGTCGCATCGTGGTTCGTCAGCGTCGGTCGTCCTTAGCAAGGAAGACCTTAATTCTGGGGGTGTTGCCACTGTGGCATACCTGCAAGGTCAAGAACTGTACGTTGCCAATGTCGGCGACGCACAGGCAGTACTCATCCAATCCGACGGCCAACATAAAATCCTCACGCGGAAACACGACCCCGCAGAGCCGGGTGAGCGTCAACGAATACGCGATGCTGGAGGTTGGGTATCGCGCCAGGGGAAGCTGAATGATCTACTCGAAGTCTCTCGTGCCTTCGGCTATATCGACTTAATGCCGGCTGTACAGGCAGCTCCCCATGTTCTACAGATACCTATCGCGCCGCAGGACGAAACGATTTTAATCGCAACAAAGGAGTTATGGCAGTATCTTACTCCGGGCTTAGTGGTCGACGTCACTCGATCGGAGCGGGGCGATCTCATGCGTGCTGCACATAAGCTACGAGATCTTGCTATCGCGTACGGTGCAACTGGGAAAATCATGGTCATGATGATCAGCGTCTCTGATCTCAAGCGGCGCCAGGAGCGGTCAGCTCGTTTGCATAGAGGGCAGAGCATGTCACTGTATCCCTCTGGCGTCCCAGACGATTTTCAGTATCCGGCCAGGCGAGGCAGAAAAGTCAAGGGCGAGGTCCAAGACTCCACATTACACAGGCTCGATCCTGAAGTTCCCGCCCCTACTGAAAAGCCATCCATTGTTTTCACTGATATCAAGAACTCAACTAATCTGTGGGAAACGTACCCGTCGGCCATGAGATCCGCGATAAAAGTGCACAATGAAATTATGCGACGGCAACTTCGTCGAATCGGGGGGTACGAAGTCAAGACTGAAGGTGATGCCTTCATGGTCTCTTTCCCTACCGCCACCTCGGCGCTCTTGTGGTGCTTTGCCGTCCAAACCCACCTACTAACGGCAGATTGGCCCTCGGAAATTTTGAACTCGGTTTCTTGCCAAGAGGTGTACGATAATGATAATAACCTCATCTTCAGAGGCTTATCGGTCAGGATGGGTATCCATTATGGCGAACCGGTGGCCGAGATTGACCCCGTTACACGTCGTATGGACTATTTTGGTCCAATGGTGAATAAAGCATCTCGTATTTCTTCCGTAGCCGATGGAGGTCAGATTACCGTGTCCACGGATTTTATCTCCGAAATTCAGCGTTGTCTTGAGACCTACCAGGAAAATGAGCGAAATGGAGCTGCTGGCTCTGAGGAAACTTTCGATGATGATGCAACGTCGGCGGCAATTAGGAGGGAGCTAAAGTCGCTCAGCTCACAAGGGTTTGAAGTCAAGGATATGGGTGAACGAAAACTCAAAGGCCTCGAAAACCCTGAGGGTATTTATTCGCTCTATCCGCACGCTCTTGCTGGTCGTATCGAACATCATAATAATGCATTGATAACGACCGATCCTGCCGAGAAGCCTGCCACACTTCAGCCCGGAAGTGAACTCGGATTCGATCCGAATCTTATCTGGTCTCTTTGGAAAGTTAGTTTGCGCCTGGAGATGCTTTGTAGTTCTTTGGAGGAGATGTCGAGCTGCGGTTTGCAGCCTCCCGAAACCGAACTATTGGAGCGTATGAAGCAACGTGGTGGTGAACTGACGGAGCAGTTCTTATTCAACTTCATGGAACATCAAGTGAGCCGTATAGAGGTATGCATTTTGTGCCCTATCCTATCATTATCCCTTTTTTTCTTTTCTTTTTCTGTGTTCTTGTATTTACTAACCGGTCTTCATTATAGACTTGCATCTCCACACTCACGATGCGACATATCGCCATGGGTAGCGGCCAGATTAGCTCTCTGGATGATCTCCGAACACCGATGGCTGTCGTCCTCGACAATCTCGCCGCCCAGCTAGCCGAACTCGAACGATACAAGGCTAGATACGGCGACCTTACTACCACTGATAGTGAGGGTGAGGAACTCACTAGCGACCAAGAGTCTGACGACTGATAGCCTCCGTTTTTGACTATCCTAACATCTTGCCCTCCATTTCCATATAGTATATCATGCTAAGATCCTACCGGCCCACGTCTTTAACCGTACTACTACTTTGCGTTCTTTTTCCACGCAACTGAAAAGGGCTGCGCAGTTCCACCCTATATACAATACCTACCTTTAATGTGCTATGACGAAGATATCTCTTATGACTGCTTCTGGGGAGGCGAGATTGTTTGTTTACAAGTCATATTCGGGTGGTTGACTGAAACATGGGCGACGGCATCCTGCCAGCAGCCGAGGGCTCAAACGGAGACTACCATTGGCGTTTAGACGCTGACGAATAACAACTGGGGTGTGAGAATGTGCGTTTTTTTTGGAATATTCGAAAAAAAAAGTTCAGGTTTGGATGTAAACCTCGTTATTATTACTGCTTTGGGCATGGTACTGGGATACTTTCTTAAAGGGCATAATTAGCTACGCCGTCGTTGCTATCGCGCAGACGCTGCGAGTGGGCGTTTCCAGGGAGGGCACTGGGGGGGTAGGGGGTGAGAAGAGAAACGGGAGGATCTATTCCCTCCTTTTTTAAATGTTTTCCCGTTCGTGGTTGGCGAGCAGGCGTTCTATCGGCCCTCACGCACACTACCACGCAAATACATGTAACGGGTACGTACGGCTGCTGGCTAGCATCGTCTACCTGACATACACAGGTCAAGAAAGCCGCATCAAATAGGTGGTAGGTGGACCGCTCATCATTAGGAATGAGTTAGTTTGGCTATTGTCAGTGTATAACCGAGTTGATTTTGCATTTATCCTGTCTTGATGAACATATGTGATATCGCTCAAGTTATCAATACCTATAGTCTTCAAGAAATGTGGCGGCATGTATCATTATATTACAATAAAACTCTGTATATTAGCACATAACTTAGTTGCCTAAGAGGTATCTTTCTAATCATAATCATATCTACATTCTCGAAAGTAGTTTTGTAAGCTAATAATAGAAACGGTAAGTAAAAAGACTTGGTGATAAGTACCTAACCCAACCTGAGCACCACCTACTTGGGTAAAATTAAATAAAAAGCAAAAAGTAAACGACCTCGAGCCGGACACGAACCCACGACCTCTCGTCAGAAAAACCAAAAAAATTGCATCCGCCGGGATTTGCACCCGGGTTTTTCCTTTACCGTTAAACCACAAGGGAAAATGGGAGAGGAATAAGTTCACTACTACTTCACGGATGCGTTTCTTGTCTGTGCGTTGGAAAGTATGGCGTTTATTAGACATTATAAGGGTTCTATCTAGCTCGGGAGGTAGGAAGGCAGGTGCGTAGGTATGGAGGCTGGCAGGTGCGAGGGACGTTGCTACCGTGATGGCGGGACTACGTACCTTAGGTAGGTAGGTACGGTAACTAAGGGAAGGAACTAAGGGAAGGAACTAAGGGAAGGAACTAAGGGAAGGAACGCGTTCGGAAGTGAGAAGACGCGTCTTAGAAGGAAGGCTGTTAACACTTGAAGCTGAAAAGTACATAGGTTAGGTACAATACTTATAAATGGAGCTTACTACGTAGGTACCTACCTATGTGTAAGGCTTCTTATACTATTCGCATGCATGCGTGCATTTTTTATATCTGCTTCCGACATATACCATAATATCAAGGCCAATTTAGTAAAAAATAGCAGCACGCTTTCAATGGAGATTCTAATAGTTCATATGGTATTATTTAACATAACTACCTAATATAAAGTATATATTGTTTAGATGTTACTACTTTAGGTACATTAGGCACACATCACACATCTACACACTCTCCTATGTCTTAATGATTACTTCGTAATAAGGTCTTAATGTCCCCTATTATTTCTAGCATAAGCTAACATACATGGGCTAGTAGTCCTTTTATACAAACGGGGCAACCTGTAAGGAAAAAGCTGTTCGGTTACTTGCTTAAGGGGCAAGTAGTCTGTTGTCTGTCCAGTATGTAAATAACATCAACTCCATCCACATAAGCACGCATAAATAAATACAAACAAACATCGAATACGATTTGCTCTGATCCTCATTGTTCATTTCATTTTAGCCATATAACAAATGATACTGTATAGACCTTAGGTAACTATAACTAATATAACTAATAGAATACAAAGCTGTAAGGGGTATATCCGTATACATCATTCACATCAGAAACTGCCACATTACCTTCATCACGATATATCATATAAATTGCCCAATCGGGTAGCGTCGGGCCTCATCTGGATGGACCCAGCCCACCTGCTCCCCAAATCTTGCATCTTGCTTGCCTCCCATCCCCTCAGCCTTGCCACGTCACTTGTACACACCAAGATACACCCAAACGCAGCTATCCCATGCCATGCCATACAACAGTACAACCAATGCCCCAAATCTAGTGGGGTCCCCTTACACATCTGCCATGGAGACGAGAATATCCAACCCTACGAAACTATCATCCCCATAACCATATGAGAGGCACAACCCCATCCAAAAATGTCCCATAAATCTTAAAAATTGTTTTGTGAGGAGTAAATTACGAAAATCAAAAAAACAAGTTCAAGAAAATATTTCTGTGGCCAATGGTGGTAGGGTCTCGCCCTGTTCATCAAGTCTCCAGCTCCGCTCCTCAAGAGCCAGTGAGCTTCCTCCACCAACTGCTCCGAGGTGTCGAGTCCGTAAAGAAAGATTCGCGCGGGCCACCTTTGGCACCATTCTTATCACCACTGCCGTCCGAACCGCCTACGCGACGATCTCGACGATCCCGTTGGTCTCGTTGGTCTCGTTGATCCCGTTGATCCCGTTCCTCGTGGCGCGCGCGACGGCGTCGTCGATCGTCTTCCATTTCCGCATCAATATCACCATACTTCGCGCGACGGCGTGCTCGTCGTGCAGCTCGGCGAGCTTCTTCGTCGTCCTCAGGAGGCGCATCGGTAGTGGGGCCATCCTCAGGGGGTGGTCCAGACTCTGAATGCTCCTTCACCCAGGAATCTGTACCCGAGTGAGGCCAAACCGCAGGTCTATTTCGTCTGCGATCACGATCACGATCGCGATCGCGATCGCGCTCGTCTACGGCATGTCGTGAAGATCTTTCCTGGGGGTAGACGTAATCTTCAACCGGCATGGTACGTCTTCGATTGGCCTTTTCTTCGGCACGCCTGGCTTCGTGTCTCCTCCGTCGTCGTTCTTCTTCGTCCTCGGAAGCGTCAGTGTAGCGTGGTCGCCGTCTTTCAGCCCTAGCAGCGCGGCGAGCTTCTGCTTCCATCTCGGCGGCGGCTGCCTCCTTTTCAAGTCTACGAAGCCGACGCCGTTCGGCTCTCTCAGCTTCTTTAGCTTCGACTGCGAGGCGCTCTGCTTCGCGTTCTCGGGCAGCCCTACGCTCAGCTCGTCGGGCCTCGCGTTCAGCTTGTTTACGAGCTTCAGCCTCTTCTTCATATCTTCTCCGCCTCTCGCGCCTTTCCTCTTCTTTGGCTAGACGCGCTTCTTCTACTGCCTTCTCTTCGGCCCTTCTGGCACGGCGAGCTGCACGGCGGGCTTCTCTCTCGTCGTCTATGGCATCTGCATCGACAACGTGATAATCTCGTGTAGACCGCCTAGCCCTCTTCTCGGGCCGAACCTCATCGTCCGTAGTGTGGTATGTACTGCGACGACGTGGCTCGGGACGCGGCTCGGGGCGTGATTCGGAGCGCGGATTCGAGGACTTAAGCCCCCCAAAAAGACCAGCAAAGCCTTTCTTGGCAGTCGAGCTTGATCGCTTGAGAGGTGCCGCATCGGCTGGGTTTCCTATATCAAACATGACCCTATCATCCTCGGTTCTGAACTGTTTTGGGTTAGCCAGGGCAAATTTTGTATAACGGCGAGCTCCTACCTTTGGCCGTCTGCGAGCCGACTTCTCAGGGCTCGAAGGGGCGTCTCCGGCCCCAACCATGACGATGTCCTCATCGTCCAAGGCGCGTGCCATAGAGGTCTTGCGGCTGCGGCTCTTTTCGCTCTTGTCAACACCGAAGATCTTGGCAGCCTTGGAGGACATCATAGGAATTTCCTCAGGCGGTGGCGACACTAATCCATTTGCTATATCATCCGAATGACGACGCGAAGTTGACTTGCTCGCACTGTAGCGTTTATCGCGGGTTGACATGGAGCGCGAGATAGGGGGGGTGCTCTGAAATATACTGTTCGTGCGCAGATTGGTAGCTGGTGGCAATTTCTTTTTTGGGTGCTCTTCTGATTTATTGTCCTTTTCCGACGACGAGCCCTTGGAAGAAGACGACTTCTCTTTCTCTTTCCGGGCCCTCTTCTCTTCGGATCTTGGCTTGGACCTCCTCTCCTCTTTGTGAGGCGTTGCCGACCACGCTCCCCATGATGCACCACCACCTTCACGGCTGATCTTGGGTCGATCTCTCCTAGAGAGCTTGACTTCGGGTGGCGGTGTAGGAGGCCCGTCGGGGGCGGCTGGAGGAGGAATGGGTACCTCGGGAGGCGGTGGTGGAATAGGAACCTCAGGCGGTGGTGGGGGTACCTCGACGGCCTTGGCTTTGCTCTTCCTACTGCTCTTCTTTTTCTTTTCTATCGGTGCCATATCAACTATGTCGACGATTTCATTCTCATCCTCGTCAGGGAACCCCCCGGGGAGTACATCTCTAGAGGACCTAAATTTGTTATCTTCTTCGACGGGTGGTGCGATACGAACACGTGGCGGCGGCGCAGCCAGCCCGTCAATCAGATTATCGTCTTCTTCCTCTTTGGCCGGTTCGAATTTCCTAAGCTTTTCGGCAAGCTTACCGTTCTTGGCCTTAGCTTTCCTTGGCTTTATCCAGTCATCATCGGTTGTGGGTGTCTTCGAAGACGATGGCACATCCTCAATCGGGGGTTCTTCCGGAAGCTTTGATGACTCAGCACATATAATCTCGGCTGCTCCCGAAGTCTTGGGCATCTTGGGGCTACTTACTGGTTCGGGTGACGAGCTCTTCGCCCTAGCACCCCAGAATGAAAATGCATCAGATTTATACGTCTCGGCCTTAGGTTTGGGCTGAGGTTGTATTTTGGGAGCTGAGAAGCCAGACAAAAGCTCGTCGATCTGTTCGGGAGCAAGATCAATATTATCGAGATCCAGGTCGTCGTCGTCCCTGCTATTATCCTTTTCTTTCTCCTCTTCTCGTTCTCTCTCCTCTCTTTCTTTCTCCTCCCTCTCTCTCTCCTCCCTCTCTCTCTCTCTTTCCCGCTCCTTCTCTTTCTCCCTCTCTTTTTTAGACAATTTATCCTTGGTGCCGCCGGATTTAGACTTTTTATCTTCCGACTTGGAACTCTTTTTCGACTTCTTCTTGGCTGCTGCTTCGGCTTCTTCGCGTTCGCGCCTAGCTAGCTCCTCAGCCTCACGAGCTTCCTCTTCTGCTTCACGCGCCGCTTGTTCCTGAGCTTCCCGTTCCCTCTGCTCTTCAGCCTCTCGCGCCGCTTGCTCCTCAGCTTCTTGCGCTTCTCGTTCTGCGTCAAGTGCCTCTTGGTCTTGTGCCTCTTTGGACGCTTTCGCTTCTGCACGGGCCTGGGCTCTCTCAGTAAGTTCATCAAGTCTCATTTGATCTGCCGCCTTGAGCTTCTTCTTTTTCTTGCTCTTAGCTGTGAGTGCCGCAAGCTCGGCTTCCTCTTCGGCAATTTCGTCTGCAAGCGCTGCAGCGGCTTGCTCTTCGGCCTCTTGGGCTTCCGCCGCAGCGGTTTGCTCTGCTTCTAGGGCTTCTGCCGAAGCTATTTCCTCAGCCTCTCGTTGGGCTAGCTCTTCAGCTTCTTTAGCAGCCTTCTCCTCAGCACGACGTTTGGCATTTGCAGTGAGCTCATCGAATCTTCTCTGGTTAGACTTAGAGAGTTTCTTCTTCTTGCTCTTGGTTGTTAGCATTGCTAGCTCGTCTTCTTCGGCGGCAATCTGATTTGCCAATTCCGCGGCTGCTCTCTTTTCTTCCTCGTTTTCTCCAGTTTTGGCATCATCCCAGACATTCTCTTCCAGCTCTTGGCCTGACATACTCATTTCCAACGAAGGTGGTGTGGGTGCTGGAGGTGGAGATGTCTTCTTGCCTTTGCCTAGTCCCCAATTCCAGTCATCGTCGTCAAAATTGCCACCCCTACTCTCTTCTACTGAGTCGGGTTTGACACCGTTAAGGTGAGGCTCGTTCTCTATCTCGACCGGAATGTTCTTACTGCCCTTCTTCTTTTTATCTTTCTTTGACCTGCTAGTCCAGGGGTCGTCGTTCTTAGGCTCTTCGATCGAGTCAGGCATCAGATTGTTTTCATTTTTGTCCTTGTCGGCTGTGAAGCTGCCCCAGAAGTCGTCGGCTTCAGGTACGGCGGGCCGGGGGTCCGAGTCATCGTGCTCTGGATCTGTGTTGGCTTCGACAAGAGCCGTTGAAGCCTGGATTTTCTTCTTACCCCAGCCCAGCCAACCTTCGTTACCTTCATCAACGGGAGACTCCTCCTTCGCTTTCTTGGCGGGCTTCTTGGCAGCACCCCAAAAGCTCCAAGCACTCGGCTGCTCAGTAGCTGAAGTAGAAGTTGGTTCCCGTTCATGTTCTGGCTCAGAGGTAGATGGAGCTGATGGTGCCACTTCCTCTTCCTTGGGTGGCTTTTCCGGGACAGTGGTGGTCTTGCTCTTCTTCTTTTTGTCCTTCTTAGAGGCTCCGAGGCCCAATGCGTCATCATCATTTTGAGTGGAGAGTACTTCTGGCTTTAGTTCTGACTCCGACTTTTTGAGAGCCAGCTCATCTAATATGCTCTTTTTCTTCTTACCCTTGCCTAGCTCCTTACTTGAGGTGCCCCATGTAGCCCAGTCGTTAGTAGGCTCGACATTTTCTCGTTCTGGCTCCGGTTTTGGTTCTGGTGTGGGTTCGGGAACAGACTCTGGCTCTTTGGGGGGCTCTTCCGCGGTAGTTTTCTTCTTATTTTTCTTATCCTTTTTTAAGGCAGCACCAAACAACCCCCAGATATCGTCATCCGCAGGTTCGGTTTCTTTTATTGGCTCCGATTCTGGTTCTGGTTCCAGCTCCGGTTCAGGCTCTTGCGCTGGCTCTGGTTTCGGCTCTGGTTTCGGCTCTGGTTCCGGCTCCGTCGCACCTTTCTTCTTCTTCTTTTTCTTCTCTTTCGTTGTAGTTGTAAAGGATGGGAAATCGTCAGTTTCCTTCTTCGGGGGCTCCAGCTCAGGTTCGGGTTTTTTGGGGATCTCCTCGGGTAGCTCATCTGCAACGACGTTCTTCTTTTTCTTATCCTTCTTAGTTAATTTACCGAAAATGCCCCATTCGTCTTCATTCTTCTCCGGCTCTTTCGGGGGCTCTGGTAGCACTGGCTCGGGTTCCTTAATTTCCTCGGCACCTTTGCTCTTTTTGCTCTTCTTCTTGGTTGTAGGTTCATCCCAATTCGGCCAGTCATTCTCCTTCTCGGGTTCGGGGACGGGATCAGGCTCAACTATCGGTTCTGGAATAAGTTCAGGTTCGGGGTCTCTCGTCTTCTTCTTTCTATCTTTCTTGGTGACCCCGAATACCTCCCAAGGATCATCGTGCTTGGGCTTGGGTTTGGGCTCGGGCTCGGCTTTCTCTTCTACTATCTCAACGACAGGCTCCGGCGTGGTAGTCGTAGCTTTACCTTTCTTTTTCTTGTCTTTCTTCGTAGTCATGGAGTCTAATAAATTGGCTTCCTCCTTATTCGTAGGTTCAGACGGCGGGGTTAACTCTTCTACCTTTGAAACCTCTGCGATCTTACTCTTCTTTTTGTCCTTTATGCCCCAGCCCCAACCACTTTCAAGAGTAAAGGTCTCAGCTTCTGGATCAGGCACAGGCGAGTCAGACCTCTTGAGTGTTTCAACGCCCTTCTTCTTGCTTTTCTTGGAAGTTGTTCCAAATGTGTCGCTCCAGGGGTTCTCCTCTTTCACAGAATCTGGCTCCGGCTCTAGCTCTGGCTCTGGTGCTGGAGGCTCGGGCTCGGGGGCTTCCTCGATGGCGCCTTTCTTCTTTTTCTTATCTTTCCTAGATGGTGGAACAAGTAAGTCAATGGCGGCCGGGGCAGTATTAACAGTATTGACTACAGGTTCAATCTTATCAGGCTCAGGCGCTACGACCGCAGAACCCTTCTTGCCCTTTTTCTTAGTAGCAGCGGTAGTTTCCCAGGGGCTTCCCCAGTTGTCATCGAACGCAGTCGACCCCAATTCCTTGCTTTGAGCGGCCGGTATATCCTCTTCGAGCTCGGGCTCAGGGTCCCAGATGCTGGTCTTCTTCTTGTTCTTGTCCTTCTTAGTCGAACCCAGGCCCGAGTCAAAATTCTCGGACTTCTCCTCAGGCTTCCTCTTAGGGATGGACGCTTCAGTTTTATCCTCTTTTGCTTCGTCAAAAGATCCGAATCCGAATCCTGTCTTATCCTTCTTAGGTTTAGGCCCATCAATGCTCCACGCACTGGCGTTCGCCTCTTCCTTCTTCTCCCCCTTTTTCTCTTCTTTATCTTTGGAGTGGTCAGCGTCTTTGGACCCAAATAGGCCCCCGAGACCACTACCCCAGCCACCACGCCACGTACTAAATAAGTTGATTTTAGGCTCAGGTGTAGTAGTACTACTACCACGAAGACTAGTATCCAACGACGTCCTCACGGGCTCATCCAACTTGATGTCCTGGAAGGCGTCGGGTTTGCTTGGTGCTTCAGAGGACTCGAGCTTCTCTTCGACCTGGGTCTTCCCCTTCTTCTTTTTCTTGCTGCCAACAGTCTCAGCAGCCGCCATGCTATCGTCTAGCTTCGCGTCGGCCACGTCGTCCTTTTTATCCTTCTCTTTCTCCTTCTCTCTCTCCTCCCTCTCCTCCTTTTCTTTCTCTTTGTCTTTACTATCGTTCCTATCCTTACCTTTATCCTTGTCCTTATCATCATCGTTGCCCTTACCACCGCCATTCCCATCACCACCTGCACCTCCACCGGCGTTTCCTAAATCATCGTTTTGATCACCGTCACCTCCATCAGCACCGCCGTCGTTTTCTTTCGCTGCTTCACTCCAATCGAAGCGCGATACTTGTGGTGTTTTTTTGTTCTTCTTTTTGGCGTGCTGGATAAAGCCGTCCTCTGACAGAAGATCCAAGTAAGGCTCGGTTGCCGAATCGCCGATCAGTGTATCTCTCCGCTGTGCACGACGCCGAGCGTCGTTCGGTGGGGGGAGGTAATTATTCACTAAGTTAGAGTGGTCTTGTTGACGGGCAGCCTCACCAGTTCGAGCTGGATCAATTAGGGGTTTAAAGGGGAGGGGATCTTCGTCATAATGCTTCGATAATCGTCGCGATCGTTTCGGTGTGGAATCAGGCAACACCAGTGGCTTGGGGATAGCATGGTGGGAGACCTTCTGATTATACCTACAGCGCAGTTCCTATTCAGAATTGCGTCTGTTAGCTTCGAGTTCCAACGGCCACTGCGACGGGTATAGAACACAAGTCGCAAAGTCCAAACCAATGGCACTCTATACTATACATCGACCAGCCTATTGAAACAATCCATAACATAATATAGCTAGAATGCTGAGGAACTAGAGACGCCTAAGATAGAGAGCACATACCGATTTTAATCCTGTCACCACCAAAAACCATGCTCTCGAAATAAGATCCAGTCGAGTTTGCAGGTCTAGTTCATCCCACTGCAGAGTCGTTGTCGTGATGGGAGGCCAGGTTTTTGGCCGGCTAAGCCCGTCTCTTGTCGCGCTTGCGCATGGTTCTATAAACGCGGCCGCAGCCATATTGAGGTTGGGAAGCTCGACTGGTCGCGCTAGAGTAAGAGAATCATGGACGCTAAGATGTTGTCTTCGACCGACTAATGACAGCCAGAGGTTGTAGTAAGCTATATTATTAGTTCAGTAATCAAGGAGGGGTGTTTAAAATGCAAAGGCAGAGCCTTCGACCTGTCTATTCTTACAGCTTTGGGGTTGAAAGTCTATGGATATCTAAGCGAGAGAAGGCGGTAGTATGGGTCGGGTTGGGGCCTTTTGAGGATGTTACAGTCGTTTATCGTTGTCGGTTGACAGGACGTAGTTAGACGTCAATGAGGTAGAGATTCTGAGCTTCTAGCTTGATGTAACACGTCGCAATCTTAATTATCATCGTCTCATTCCCCGTACAACCCTCTAGATGCCCTGGGAAGAAAATAATCGTCCTTGGTAATGCAATGGGGAATATAAAAAGCAAGGGGTAAAGTACAATACGTAGTACAAGAGGCAGTAAAATCGATTTCTGATAAGCACCAATAATGTTGCGATGCGGCAATGCAAATGTTAAAGGTGTGTAAGAGAGATGCCGGCTATTGATTGGTTTTGCTTCGCGGTCAATGTGTGGCAGACATTCCCCGACAGAATTCGGATACCTCTCGTCTTTTTGACGACAGGACTTCCAGGACTTCCAATCTGATTGTATCGAGAATTGAATAGAGCTCGCTCGAGTAGAAGGCGAAGTCCTTCCCCTGTCTGCTTGAAGCAAAAGGTACAAAAGGGAGCAAAAGACCACAAAAACAGTAAACGGATTGGACGTCTGAGCCTATTATGTACCTATGCATTTACGGATGCGACCACCCAATGGATGAACAATAACGCAGCATCATGCACCTGAGTGGGCGAAGGAGAAAAATAGTCGCAATTGTTTGGAGGAAGGGTGTGCATCAAGAGACGATAGAGGGGAAGTCGGCGTTTGTGGGATGGCTGGTTATCATTATCATTGGACAGCCACTGATGTGATATATCCACTTTTATTTTACCGCACACCCCTGCCAGCCTTGACACAATAACACCCTCCTGCCATCCATCCTTTCCTAAATTTACATAGTAACCTTCACATACATACAATACACAGTACATTTGATTTCATACAATTCATTATACGCATTCTTGTACCTGTTTATAGGCTACGACATCTTCCATTACTCCAATATGTCACTTGATGGCAAGTCCTTGGTTCTTTCCAAACGATCCTTATCCACTTCAGGCCTTCACACCGCGATAAATAAAAGCCAGGTGACTTTCCCCAACTTTCTTGCACTTATTGTTATGTATTAAAAGCGACCTAAGGTGGGGTGATATGGTTGAATTCAATTGTGTATATTTCTCATAGTTAATACAAAATAAAATTTATAGTTGTGGGTTCAGCAAACAAGAACAAAGGGGGAAACCGAAAGGTAACAATTGATAATATCAAATCTCAATTGATTTCTTACAGTCTTGGTTGCATTTACTTCCCGTTTGGTCCCTGCGTTCGGTGCATTGCACCTGCGCGAACGATTATCACCAGTCGCGTCTCAATGGATGAAACCCCGCCACATGAAATCTTGAGCTGCCTTCTCATTTTTCATTTTTCATTTTTTTTCGGCCCCCGTTTCCTTTTCCCGCCTGACTGTTTGACTGGACCCCTCATTGGATTAATCTTTTTTTTTTTCTTCAGCCTTCCGCTTCTTCACCTAATCTAAAATCTCTTCTGTGTATCCTGCCCCTGCAGCTTAGTGTTCCCTTATCCTGCTTCGAATTGGACGTTCTCGACAAGCTGACCGTTGATGGATGCTGAGGACGCGTACGGCATGGTTGATCATCTACGGACTGGCAAATAGCTCCTCTAAGTGACGCCTCTAAATTGAGAAAATTTTGCACGTTTACTTGCATGACGGATCTCGCTCCTTTTGCACAACAGGTGCGGCGAATTATTATATCGCGTGCCTATAGACGACAATGCAAACGCCAAAAGTTGGATAGAGTGTTCAATTACCGAAACATGTGCTCACGCGCAGAAAAAGCGGCACGATCATATATACCCATGGAATATGACCTCTCGGCTGCAGTTGGGAAAAGGTCAAGGTATCGATACATGATGGATGGGCAGCCATGCGCCTGTTAGCTTGTACATATCTGCTCCATGCTTAGCACAACGCCATTCATCCACGTCGTTGGGATCCATCCGGAAGTGGGACAACTGCTAAAGCATGCCAGATTGCATCTGCCACATCTAGCAGCCATAGGTATTTGCCCGGTCGCCGTGTACGGTCGCTATACAAATCTAAACGAAAATATATACCGTAGAGAGTATACTACATTGGGTATATACTATATCCTACCGCTGAACCCCGGCCTTCCCGCAACACCCGCTTGGTTGCCCAATCTCATCGGCAGCCACTGTATGTACATATGTATTGTACTATAGTATGTAGGGGTCTATCGACACTCCTATGTATGTAGCTCTGTTTTAGGTTGTTGCACGTTTTCTACTCGACGCCGGCCCCCATCTAAATGGGTAGTGGTTGTTCGTTGTTCACTCCTGCGACGGATCCTCCTATGTGTATATGTATATGTAGTGTATGCATATGTACATCCCACAAATGGCCACCCGAACCGGCATCGCGAGTTCTTCACCGCTTCAAATTCATATCGACATTGCATGCCAACGGGGCTTCGCTGACGCTAAAAAGTGGAAGCGATTTCCAAGGAACAATGGAACTCGACTTTTACTGGTTCTGCACGTAAATTTTTTTCCCCAATTGACCAACGGATTGTCGCATGAATCACTTGGCTTGGTCGAGGCACCCGCCTTCGAGGGCATTCCATAGACGATAATTGGGAATAGTCGACGCAAGACACCACAGATCGCATCGGTGACTCCCACGATACGATGTGGTGCACTACCAGCGTTTCGTTTATTAGGGAGATGGGTCTCGGTACCCATTACTCCCGTCGTGTTTGCATCAGATCGGATATCTTCCGCAGTGTCGAATCCACACAAACGCGGGTATTGTATACCTTTCGCGTCCGCGTCGTGTTCTCACATTTGTTCCTATCTTCCGATATCTCATAGGTATCCCTGAGTTAGGCTTTTTGCCACTCTTCACCGCACATTTAGACCAACTCACAGCAGCGTCCCCTTCATTCGGCCAACTGATTTACATACCTAGATTGAAGTTTTAAGCCTACCGCACGTGACTCTTCATACTATATTATTGCATATCATAGATGTATGTCTATCGAATTTCGGGGTAGATGATGAGAAGTGGGTGCTAGTCCACCGTACACTGGGTTTTCGTGGACCCCGAGGACCGCAGTTACGAATTACTTCGCTTTTCGCCGTCGGCCGTTTTGAGTTCATCACGCCTGATAGACAGATCATGGTCATAGTATCATAACATAGAAACACATGGAGATACGGCCAAGAAGAGCCATACTACGGTCGTTAGACCAAAGTTTGGTTATACCCCCGCATAGATTACTACATCCGTATAAGGTAAGTAATCTCCATGATCCTAACAGAGGATTAAGAATGATCCAAGTGGAGCTGGGGGCCATAATTTACAACAATATTGAATAATCATTATAGGTAGTTGTCAGGATACCAACGATGCCTACATACCTAACATTGTTCTTAGCCGATTAGGATCATTGATATTACTAGAAAAGAGCCTAACTATACTATAACTACAAAGTGTCTTGCTATTGAGAAGGGTTGTTTCTATACACAGGCGCCAGTGTATAGCTCCATATACATATGTCTAGTAGTACAACTCATGATATACCCCCACTCTATGTCTTAAGTCGACCCCAAGCTTGGCCGAAGGCGGAGGTCCTGTACATTCGGAAGTATAAAGAGAAAACTTGGTCATTCCAAGAGCCCGTGTGACCTTAAATTTCGGCCGGTTTAACCCCTTGCTTCTGTTTACGGGATCTTAAGAACTGCATTGGTGAGGATATGATACGGAGTAGTTAGTCGAGAAGTAATAATATCAATACCCGCCATCTTGCTCCATGCGAGGAAATACGCAGGCAAACAGGAAACAAGAACTAGCCTATGACTACTTTTCCTTAGACATAAATACTCCAGTGTTTCCTAGGCTCTACACCCACTTCACCACCCGTCCACCTTGGCACGAACAGCAGGAGTCCTAAACAGCAGACTCGATTTCATGCCCACAGTCGACCTCAGCGCCAGCATGTAACACACCCTTAGACCCCGACCATCATTACGGCCGCAAGGGAAGCCAAGACATAGCATTAGCATCCCTTCTCCTACTCTAAGAATCTACCCCATTCCCCTGATTCATTCGGTCAACCCACGGCTGGATGAAATACTGGTTTACGACTGGGTACACTAGGCCGATAATGCCGAGCGAGATGGCGTAGAACTCGGGGCGCTTGAAGAAACGGCCGCGGAATAAGGCGCGGTTGCGAGCTGCATCGCGGCGTCGGGCGCGCGCCCGTGCTTCGTCTTGGAATACGGCGCGTTCGTGGGAGGCGCTGGTTAGGTTGGGTTAGTATAATTATTAGGC